GCGCCAAGGCCGGCCCCGCAAGGCCGCTTCGGGCAACGCCGCGCTCCTTGCGCCGGCACCCGGCCCTAATGATGACGCAGCCGACGCGCGTGCCCCGGCCCGCCGCCGCAACCGCCGTGCCGGCGGCGGCGACGGCGCCGTCGCAGGCGCGCCGGTGCCCGCACGGGGGCCGGCAATCGCAGCTTCCGCGCAGCTGCTGGCGCCCGCCGGGTTCAAGGGCGGTCCGGTCATCGTCAACGCCTCGCCTAGGTGGCGCCCGTCTGCGGCGGCAGCGGCGGCGCCCCCAGTGGCCTGAGCCGCGTTCTATTTTGCCCGGCGCCGTGGTGGCGCCCCGTGGTGCCCCGCAGGCCGGGGCCACCTCCTCCTGCGGCAGTGCATCCGCAGCAGGGGCGGCGAGGGCTGCCGCGCCGCCCTCGCCAGGCCGAACGCAGGCCGTTGTTACCCAAGCTTGACGCTTGTTGAGCCACAACAAATTCGCTGTATCGCCGTCTGCACACAAAACAAGCTTTGATTGGAGTGACACTTTCGCGTCGCTGCACTGGGTCATCCGCCACCTCATCGCACCTGCCCCATTCAAAACGACAGCTGCCAAAGCCCAGATCCAGCCAACGTTTTTTAACCAGAGACGGCAAGGCAGCACCAGTGGTGTGGGGCGCCAGGCCTGGCTTGCTGATGTATTTTATTTTTCAGTGTGCGCAGCGTTAGTGTGTGTTTGGTCGTATGCTTGCGCACAAGTGTACAAGTTCGCGTGAGTATGCGTGTGTGTGTGTGTGTGTGTGTGTGTGTGTGTGTGTGTGTGTGTGTGTGTGTGTGTGTATGTGTGCACGCGCACGCACGCGTGCACATGTCTGTGCCAGTGTACGTGCGCACGTGCTTGTGCTTTTTTAGGAGAGTGGCAGCCCAAACTTCTGCTGCTCTGTGCTTGTTCGCCGCCGCCCCTGCGAGCGAGTGGGGTAGGCAGGCCGCATCTGTTGTTGTGCGCCACTCGAGGCCCTCTGCGTGCTGTGGCGCTGAGCGTGTGCTGTACGAAACACAAGCACTGACAAGGTTTGCTGCCGTTGCACGAGCGGCTGGTTGTTGGCGCCTGCTCGCGGCGCGCCCATCGGTCGCCGGCGCGCGTGCGCCAGAGTTGTCCCGCGCCAGAGCGGTGTGGTGCGCTCGCCGTGCGGCTGTTTTAAGAGCACGGCGTTGTAATAAACTGTCTCTCGAGGCTCACGCTATCCTGCCCTGTTGAGTCAAAGTAGGGTTTGGGGTTCAAACCCTGAACCCTAAACCCTGAACCCCACTTGAGGTGTTGGTGCACAAAACTTTCAAGCAGACACAGATGCCATTACTGTCCCAGTGTCGGTGCTACCCAGACCATGCGGCAATACAGAGTAGGGTTGAGAGAGGAGCCTCGGAGCTGGCGAAAACGAGGCAGCGGCGGGGTTGGGTTTGCTCACAATATGCAGATGCAAAGACGGCTGCGACGCAGCCCAGCTGACGAGATCAGATGCGCGCGCCGCAGCAGGGCTGGGTTAGCCATCCCCTTGCTTGGCCTGCCTTGCGGGCCGAGCGCGGGGTGCAAACGAACGCATCCAAACGGCAAGGCCAAGCAATCCCGCAACGGCCGCCGAAACAGCGGGGCCGGGGCGGACACAGAAAGGAGGGGAGCAGCGCGATTCGACGCCGCCAGCTGCTGTCCTGCCTGGCGCCAACTGTGGCGCCAACAGTTGTCCTCTGCCCCCGGCGGCGCGCTCCTGCAACTAGGGCAGCAAAATCTTATCACAGGCATCTCGGGCACCTGAAAATGGCGCGTAGTAATAGGAAGCTGCAGGAAGCATAACTGCATGAGAAAGCGGGACCAGCAGCACTTGCACGAGCTGCTATTCGCCTCACTGCTCCGGCTCGAGTCGCCGCGCCGCCGCGCCCTGCCGCGCGCCGCGCGTCGCCCTCGCGACGCGCGACTGGCTCTCGCGGCCGATGGCGGCGCAGATGAACTCGCCTGCGTCGGCCAGGGCCGCCGCGTCGACGCCGTGGGATATGCCCAGGCCGCTCAGCATGTAGACGACATCCTTTGCGGGATAGAAAAAATGGGGGCAACATAAATGAAGGCGAGGGGTGAAGTTCAGGGCAAGCGGTTCAGCGTGAGAAGTTCAAGACGAGAGGATGGGGTTTGAACCGCGCCCGTTGGTGAAAATTTGTGGGACGCGCACAAGCGCGGGATGCGTGCTGGCCAGAGCGGGCTGCCGCAAGCCTGGCCCGCCACAACAGCGCTCCCCGCAATATGCACGCCAGCACGCGGGTCGTGGACAGGCACGCAAGCTGCGGGCGCGGACGCAGACGCGCGGCCCCTACCTCTGTCGCAACGTTCCCGCTGGCGCCCTTAGCGTAGGGGCAGCCGCCCAGGCCCGCCACGCTGGCGTCCACCACGTGCACACCCAGCTGGATGGCCGCCAGAATGTTGGCGAGCGCCTGGCCGTACGTGTCGTGCTGCGGTGTTTTGGGGGGGTGGGTGAGTTGGGTGGGAGGTGGGGAGGGTTTCGGTTTGGTGGGGGGTTCGGTTTTGGTGGGAGTTCTGGGTTTTGGCGGGGGTTTTGGGTGCAAACGTGCATCACTGCATGCATGGGGTTGACCGGGAGCAGGCAGAGGTGGCGGCAGAGCTGCATGTTTGGGGGGAACGGGGGCGGGAATTGCTGGATGTGGGGGTGCGGCGCCGAGGGGCGCGGCGGCGGCGCGCGGCAGAATACGCGCGAGGCGACGAGTCAAGCGGGAAGCTTCCGTGTGCGCAATCGGCGAGCGCGCGAGGGCTATCTGGGTATTGGGGCCCCCAGCCCTGCGCCCCACCCCACCATGTGCGCCGCCAGATGCTCTATAGGCACCTCCTTGGCTGCTGCCTGTGAGGCGCATTGCAGATCAGGGTTCAGGAATTGCGGGGAAAGGTTTGGGTGTTGAACAGGAGGGGCGGTGGGTCGGGACGGCCAGCGCGGGGCCGGGACCCTGTGTGAGTGCGCCAGCCGCCATCGGCCCAGGCAGGGCCGGTGCAGGAAGTGGAGCAGTCGATGCATCCCAGGCCGCCGGAAAAGGCGCACTGAGCCCGATGGCGGCGGGACGCTCCCCACACAGCACACCCAAGAGAGCACCGCAGCCTCGGAAATGCGGCCCGACCGATGACGTCACACAGGGGTAGACAAGGGCAGGGGCAGGGGCAGGGGCAGGGGGAGGCTCGCACCTCGAACATGGCTGTCACAGACGCCGGCGTCGCGACGCCGATGGTGTCACCCAGTGATATTTCGTGGCAACCCATGTCCCACAGAGCGCGCGCCACGGCCGCGGCGGCGGCGGGCTCGACGCGGCCGCTGTAGGGGCAGCCGGCGGCGCACGAGACGTAGCCGCGCACTGGAATGCCGGCGGCCTGCCGGGAGCGGCGGATTTTGACGGGAAGGCTGTGAGGCCGTGGGCCACCTGGCAGATCTTGGGGCGCCGCCGCCGGGCAGGGCGCGGCGCCGAGCGCACGGCCCCCTGCACGCGCCCCGCATCAAACGGCGGAGTGCGCCGGCCGGCCGCTGGACTTGCGGCGCCTTGCACACCCGACAACGCCACACTCAAGACTCGTCAATCATCGATCACGAGCGCCTCCGGGAACACACACAAACGTACTCAGCCGGCTGGTCGGCACCCCCCACCTTGGCCGCATCTGCCACCTCCACAAACCGCTCGAGGCTCTCCTGGATGGAGCAGTTGAGGTTCTTTCTGCTGAACGCCTCGCTGGCAGCTGCAAAGATCGCCACCTCGTCCACCCCCGCCTGCAGCGCGCGCTCGAAGCCCTGTGTGTGTGCATTCGTGTGCGTGTGCGTGCGCGCGCGTGTGTGTTGAGTGCGCGTGTGTTTATTGTGGGGAGGACGCGGCACTTGGCGCCGCAGGGCCGAAAGGGTGGTCCAGCGGGGTGCGTGTGGTGGGGGCCAGCGCACGCTGGAGGGACGAGACCCCGGCTCGATGGCAGCGGCAGCGGCTGCGGCGGCGGCGGTACCAAGGTTTGGCCCTTGCTGCGCCGAGCAGCGCAGCAAGGGCGCGGGCGCCCGCGCAGAGGCGTTCCTGCGAGCCCGCGGCTCCAATTCATCGAACAAACGCACACACCAAGCCCATGCACCCAGCCACATGCAGGGTCTTATAGCACCCGCGACCCTGAGATGCCCGCATGCTTTGATGTTTGATGCTATCGACCCCTTGCAGCCCCCAGAGAGGGCGCGCACGCGCCTTGATGTTTGGGGTGAGCACCGAGTACGTCACCCCGGGGCGCCGCCGGATGCGGCCCATCACGTTCGCGCCGTCCGCGAGCTGGGGCACCCACTTGGGGGACACAAAGCTGGTGGCCTCAATGTAGGCCAGGCCGGCGGCTGACAGGCGGTCGATGAATTCGACCTTTGAGATGGGGGGTTGGGTGGGGG